CTCTATCTTTGATGTAAGATTGAAGTTTCTCATTCTCACAAGTACATGGGAGTTTCTCTTTCTCACAATAACTGAAAATGCCGCATTCATGTTAGTGCAAATACATTTGACAAATTGTAATTGAATTATTTAAGTTATAATGTTTAAAGTAAAAAAGCAATAGTGAAACCATGCATGTTGGGCATGTACTGAACACGGGTTATGGCCAATCTAGTATATATATAAACAATGTAAAAATATTGTGCTTGTATCCAATTTAAGTACTTAATTTCTATATTAATTTTTTCAAAAATACAATAATATTGGGTAATAATAAGATTAAACGGAAAAATAATAATTAACATGCTCCAAATTTACCATAAGTCAAATCAAGACTACATTCTTATATTACAATAATCTTGGAGCTTCGACTTAAAATAAAATATATATTTATTAGGTTTCTTTTGTTGACACAAATTCCAGTATAGGCACACAAAACAGATCTAGTTTAATACACAAAACTATCATGGAGACACCTTTAGTAACTGTTAGGGATAAAAAGGCAGGTGAATTGTTGTTCTACAAAAGATCTCATCCCCCTTTTAAGACCAATCATATTTCAATTGATTCACAAAAAAACAGTTCTATTGATGTGTATCATCGAAGAATGAGCAAGTGAAAACTAGTAATTGTGAAAATGTAGTGGCTGCTGAACAAGTATCATTGAAATTTGCGATAATTATGGATTTCAAAAGAATCATCAACGCTTTCAGGAAAAAGTCCCTTCTGCCAATAGTCGAAATCAAGAACGATCTAAGAGGTTGGGCGAACTGGCAATTACAACCGCCACACCTGAAATCCTTAAAGATATAAGGAGTTTAAGTCAAGATGTCTACAAGTTGTCTTCAACAGAAGATATGCTCCAGTAGTTTGAGCAACAAAATCTTTTTTGATTTGATTGGGGTAGCTAAGATCTAGAAATAATGAATTTGGTTTTAAATCTTTCATATGGATTCAAAGTTTTTCTCTTACATATAGTAAGATTTTGACGGTTTGGATTTTACATGATTGTTGCTGTTGTTGTATAGATATATAAATGATTGAGCAAAAAAACAATGATCAAAAGGTTGAACCTATGAACTCTAATTTTATATCACATTATTATTATTATTATTACTAACTAATTGCTTCGTTTTTTTAATTCGTTTATGAATGTACCACGCTCTACCTAACGACATTATTTTTATTTTCTATGACAAAACAACGCTACATTCATATTATTCCATATATATATATATATATATATATATATATATATATATATGAATGTATATATATGTAGAGAGAGAGAGATTCTTTTTCCTCAAGAATTTGAGATCCTAGTTCTGCACATAACCTTACTATTTTGGAGTGAGTTTTAATCATTAATTTTTTATTCTTCTCTCATTTAGTGAAAATTTACGAATCAAAGTACCTCTATCTGTGACCTAATTTTGCAAGATTTAAGTTAGAGAAATTTTGATTTTTCCATCATATATTTTGTAGGAATTAAGTTATTCGACATAAATGTGTAGTATCTAATTCACTTGCCATAAGTTTAGAGAACTTTTACCTTGTGGGTTATGAATTGAACGCATGCCTCTAACAACACAAGTGTTATAGGAACAAGTATCATAACTTGTTATGCATTTTAAGACATTAATTATATCATATTCTGATATAAAAACAGAACTTGATGTAAATGAACACAAATTATCTCTTCAAAATCGAACATCAATTGCAACGATTCGCTAGACGACTCATTGGGATTATTAACCATCAATTGAGAGATAAATAAAATATCAACCCAAAATAAGGGAATTTATATGAATGACCCTCTAAAATTTGAAGGTGCAAAGAGGATAATTAACCTAGATTATGCAAATTTAAGAATATACTTTTTATATTAGCAAAACAAAACCAACGAATTTGAGTTATGGTGTATCTGATAGTTTCAAAGAAATTTAGGTTATGAGTTATGACGTATTAGAGGGTAATTAAACATGATTGCTATAATAAAATATAATTATTATTGAATATGATTATTATGAAAATGTTTAAATTTAATTAATTTTTTTGAGCAATTCATGAGTAGATGAGTTGAATGTTGTGATTGCTATTTGTGGTAGAGATGACAATGGAGTAAGAAAAATATGGGACGAGGTGAGGCGGGTTCGAATATTAACAGACAAATAATAATTAACATGCTTCAAATTTACCATAAGTGAAATCAAGACTAGATTTTTATTTTTCAATAATCTTGGAGTTTGGACTTAAATGGAAACAAGTTTATTAGGTTTCATGTGTCAACAAATTCCAGTAGTATATATAAACACACAAAATATATCTAGTTTAATACACAAAACTATCATGGAGGCATGTCACGACCCAAATATGGACGTGATGACACTTGTCTGTTCCCACAAGGACAAGTCAGCCTCAACTCAATGAAAACGAAAGAAAAGCGGAATAACAACAAAAACAAGAACAAGATAAAGCGGAAACGTTATTCTTCTATTAGAACCCCCAAAATCTGGTTGTCACGCATACAAGCAACTATATACATAAGTACATAATTAAGAAATAAATACAAGTTACAGTCTTTGTTTCTCAAATAGAAAGTATAGAAAAGGAAAAAGAGGGGCCGCTGAATGACAAGCAGCTACCTCTTCAAGTCCTTGACAAGCCTCGAGATCGAAGAAAGAGAAAGAGATCACGCAGGTCCGAGTTCAGAACCTACAAAAGTGTAGAATCAAAGGGTGAGTACGAACAAGACGACACCCAACAAGCAACCTACTAAACAAAGGAACTAGTTAGAAAATGAATACACTAACTCTTCAACTAATCCTCCTCAAACTACAACCTGCACAAAAATCAGCCCAACCTAGCAATTCTACAATATCTGTCTCACAGGCCCAATATATTCTCAGTTCAATAACCAATTCATCAATCAATGGAATCAAACAAATCAACCTCAAAGTCAAGTAGTTCAGTCACACACAACTAGTACATCAAGCTCAATTATCAAGCAATGTCACGCATTAGAATTAAATACATCAAGTCACCATAATCAATCTCTTACCAGAACCATTTTCCATCGGCTTTATAATCATTGTCGGAAATAACCTCGGCATATTAACACTCGTTGGTAATGATCTCGGCCAAATTACACTCTCGTCGGTAAAGACCTCGGCATAATAACAGTTACCATCAAAGACCTCGGCCTCATAATCATCATATGTCTCATCACAGTGTCCAATGATCATGCACAAAAATAATATCACACCACATCAAAGAGATCACAAATTGCGCACTTTAAGTCCACATTCATGCTTTCAAGAAATTTCATCAATCATTCAACAAGTGTTACAATAAGGCAATTCACATCATCATGATCAACACATAACCTTTTTCATTTCAACCCCTTATTATTCATTTAGATATAACAAGTGGATGATTTAACCCTTCACCTCATCCCATTATTCCCAACACACAAACAATAAATGAAGCATACAGATTCAACTAGAATACAAGGTTTAGGAAGCCACTTGCCTTAAATCAATCAACAATCACTCTAATAGTTGAGTCTTCCCCTTCTGAATCAATCCCAAGGCCATACAATCTATGCACAAACAAGTATTCACAATAAATTTCTAGAAGTAACAATACCCACATCAATCTTCTTAAAAGGTGGGTCAATCAACAAAAAACCCAATTTTAAATTTTAGGGTTGAAATCGAAATTTAATACTTGAAAACATTACTCAAGACTTTAGGAAATCATTAGGGAAAATCATTTCAAAAAAAGGACTTGGAATCCGTTCATAAACTCACTTTTATTTCAAAACTCAAGTTCATGCAGAACTCCCAGTTTATCAACCCAAAATCTTGATCTAAACTCATAAATTCAATAATAATAATAATGGGTAATCAAAGATTTGGAGTTAAGAATCATTACCAAAAAGATTTCCCTAAAAAACCTGGTCCAAATCGCCACTCCAATGCTCCCAAAACTCAAAAATGGTGAAATGGGGGTTGAAACTCCGATTTTAGAGAACATTCTGCCCATGTCTCAAATGCCTATCGCGATCGTGACCCAGGGTCACGCGATCGCGATGAGTAAGGTAGTCAACTCATTAAAGTTGACCATCGCCATAGCGGCAAGACTCTCACGATCGCAATGTACCTCAAGATAATGCTACACCATCGCGATGACCAAAGTGGGCATGCACCAGAACAAGAAACTAGCGACTCAAAATCATCAAAAGGACCTTCAGGATTCGTTTGAAACCCCGAAAATGCAAACAACATATGCAAACCAATTATACTCGACATTTTAGACTCAATGAAACCACCAAAACACGAATCTGAGGTCTCCTTGGCCCGAAATTCGTGAAAACCACAAGAAACTAACTCAACGCCTAAGAAGGCTAAAACAAGCTCAGGACCTCTCAAAAATCAACCAAGATCTATTATAGGCCTAAAATCATCCCCTGAACCCAACGAAACTCTTGGAATTCGAATTTGAGCATCTAAACCCCAAATGTTGACCAAAGTCAACCCAAAAGCTAAATTTTCACATTTTCATAACTTAGGACCTCAAATCCTCAAAAATATTTGGAATCTAAAACTAACAACTTTTACAGATCATATTTCACATTTTGGGACTGATGGAATTTTCAAAATTTCATCCCGACACTTGAAACTCCAAAAACCACTTCCTTAAAAACTTGGCCTTTCAAACTCAAAACTTACCAAATCTCAATTTTAACTCAAGGATCAAACCAACTTTTCAAAACTCAATCAAAAAGGACTCGAGGCCAATTATAGGAGGGGCAAAATTTGCAAAACTTTCCAAAAATGACGAACTGGTTCATTACATTATCCACCACTAAAAACATGTTCGTTCTCACACATAAGGCAAAAGAAAGTACCTGGAGCTTTGAAAAGCTGAGGATATTTGGCACACATATCTGACTTTGTCTAGCAAGTAACCTCATCGACTGAATGATGCTTCCACTGCACCTTTACTGAATCAATCTCTTTGGTCCTAAGCTTCTGAACCTGCCTATCCAAAATGGATATAGGCTCCTCCTCAAAAGATAAGTCTGGACCCAACTTAACTGAATCAAGGAAAAGTGGATGGAACTCATCCAGCATGTACTTCTAAAGCAGGGAAACATGAAATACTAGATCCACAGTTGACAAGTTAGGCGGAAAGGCCAACTTATAGGCCACCTCTACCACACGACTCAAAATCTCAAAGGGTCCAATGAATCTAGGGCTAAGCTTTCCATTATTCCCGAACCTCATGAGACCCTTCATGGGTGACACTCGGAGCCAAACATGATCACCGTCCATGAATACTAGGGCTTGAACTCTCCGATCCGCATGACTCTTTCGTCGACTTAAGGCTATCAATAGTCTGTTATGGATCATATGAACCTTCTCCATAGCATCTCTAAGAAAGTTTGTATCTAATGAATCCTTCTCAGCCGAATCTAACCATCCGATCGAAGATTTGCACCGTCTGCTATACAATGCCTCAAAAGGGGCCATCAAAATATTGGAATGATAATTGTTGATATAGGCAAACTTTGGTAAGGTGAATTGTCGATCCCATCTAGCACCAAAATCAATCACACAAGCTCGGAGAATGTCTTCCAACACCTGAATTGTCCGCTCAGACTGGCCATCTATTTAAGGATGAAAGTTGTACTCATATCTAACTGAGTACCCAAACCATGTTGTAATGCCTTCCAGAAATGAGAATTGAACAAGGAACCTTGGTAGAAGATAATAAAAACTGGGACCTAATGTAGTCGCACAATTATAAAACTCGACTAACTTCTCCACCGTATACTTCACCTAAACCGGGATGAAATGGACGAACTTAGTAAACCTATCTACAACCACCCAAATAGAATCATAACCATCCACAATGGCAGGTAGTCCCACAACAAAGTCCATAGTGATCCGCTCCCACATCCAAGTAGAAATGGGCATCCTCTAGCGTATACCTTTAAGTCACTGGTGCTCACACTTAACTAACTGACAAGTAAAACACCTCAAAACAAAATTTGCAATAGCCCTCTTCATTCCACACCACCAATAGTGCTGGCTCAAGTCATGATACATCTTTGCCGCACCCGAATGGATGGAATATCGGGTACAATGGGCCTCCTCAAGAAACGGTCTAATCATCTCGCCCACCTTGGGCACATAAATCCTTCCTTCAATCCGTAAGACACCATTAGAATCAAGGGAAGCCTCCTTGTCTTCCCCTGTCATCACCTTGTTTTGAATGAGACATAGTTTCTCATCATTAAACTGACACTCACGAATCTGCTCAACTAAGCAAGAACGAGCCCCAACAAAAGAAATCAAACTACCCATCTCATCATAAACCCACAATCGAATGAGATTGTTGGCTAACCTCTAAACATATCTAGCCAATGGTCTCTCATCCACACTAATAACGACAAGACTTCCTATGCTATAGGTTTTCCTACTCAAAGCATCGACCACCACATTGGCCTTCCCTAGATGATACAAGATAGTAATGTCATAGTCATTCAGTAGCTCAAGTCATCTACGCTGCTTCAGATTCAGATCTCCCTGGCTGAAAATGTACTAAAGACTTCGATGATCTGAGTAAACCTCACAATGAACTCCATACAGATATATCTCCATACCTTAAGCACAAACACTACCGTTACAAACTCTAAATTATGGGTATGGTAAGTCCTCTCATGGGTCTTCAACTACCTAGAAGCACTGGCAATCACCTTACCCTTCTGCATCAAGACACCACCTATCCCGTCTCCAGAAGCATCACAATAAACAGTGAAATCCAAACACTCTTCGGGTAAGGTCAAAACAGAAGTTGATGTCAACAAAGTCTTGAGCTTTTAAAATCTCTCCTCACACACATCAAACCACTTTAAACTTACACTCTGCTGAGTTAATCTAGTCAAATGAGATGCAATGGTAGAGAATTTATGAACAAATCATCGGTAATAGCCCACAAATCCCATAAAACTCTAATCTCGGTAACCGAGGTAGGCTTGGTCCAACCTTTCACTACCTCAATCTTAGCCGGATCTATCCAAATACCCTCCTTGGAAACCACGTTTCCTAAAAATGCCACAAAATAAAGCTAAAACTCGCACTTCGATAACTTGACATTAAACTTATCTTCCCTCAATCTCTGGAGCACAATCCTCAAATGTCGATTGTGATCCTCCTCAGTCTTGGAGTACACCAAGATGTCACCAATTAACACTATTACAAAGGAATCTAGATAAGGTCAAAACACTTTGTTCATCAAATCCATGAACGTTGTAGGGGCACTAGTCAAATCAAAACACATCACAAGAAACTCATAGTGGTCATAACGAGTCCTGAACACTGTCTAAGGGATATTCGATGCCCTAATACTTAACTGATGATAATCAGATCTCAAATCAATCTTAGAAAATAGATATGCACCATGAAGTTGATCAAAAAAATCATCAATACGAGGAAGAGGATACTTGTGTGTCACTGTCACTTTGTTCAACTATCAATAATCAATTCACATCCTTATAGAACCATCCTTCTTCCTTACAAACAACACAGGAGCACCCCTCAGAGAAACGCTAGGGAAAATGAACCCCTTACTCAACAAATCCTGCAACTGATCTTTCAACTTTGTTGGTGCCATACGATAAAGAAGAATAGAGAGTGGCTTGGTGCGTGACTCAAAGTAAATAGAAAAATCAATATCCCTATCTGGAGGAACACCTCGATGATTAGTAGGAAACACATATGTAAAATCTTAAACCACGGGTATGGAATCCATGGGAGATGGCTTGACACTAGTATACCAAATGAAATCCAAGTAGGACAACACCCACTATCAACCAATCTCTGAGATCTAATGAAAGAGATGACTTAGCTAGGGTAGGAACAACTAGCACCCATCCACTAAACTCTGGGAATGCTTGACATCGCTAAGATCACACTCTTAGAATAACAATAAAAAATAGCATGATGCGACGAAAGCCAATTCATACCCAAGATAATAGCAAAGTATACCATCCCCAAAATGATCAGATCTACACAAGTATCAGACCCGACCAAAGAAACAAGACATGATCGATACGCTCGATCCACCACAAAGGATTCACCCACTGCTGTAGAAACATGAATAAGCACAACATACAAACAAACATCATATTAAATCCAATAGTAAAATAGGTAGAAACATATGAGAAAGTAGATCTTGGATCAAACAAAACAAACGCATGTCGATGGAAAACTAGGACGATACCTGTGATCACATCATCAGAAGTCTCAACCTCAGGCTTCTTGGAAAAGCATAACACTATCCATCTCGCCACCTATAGACTAAGTAGAATCTCTACCTCCACCCTACGCAGTTGGAGTACCTCTACCATTAGTCCTGCCATCTCTACCAAACTAAACTTTACCTCGGCTCCTGGTCGGAGGAACTGAATCCCTAACTAGAGTAGCTGAAAGAGAACACTGAGGTCCTGAATTGTAACACCCCGTATTCAAAATAGACAAAAATGCAGATTTTGAGAACTTACAGGTGCAACTTACGGTCACCATCCACGGACCGTAGGTCAGACCACGGCCCGTGCTGGTGGTCCGTGGTTCACCACTGCAACCCCTCCCCAGCCAGGTCAGAAAATTGGTTAAGTCTCGACTCACGGACAGACCCACGGTCCGTAGATCAGACCACGGTCCGTGGTCTGTGTCCGTGGATCAAGACCTCCTTACCCAGCCTCTGACATGAACTACGGTTGACCAGCACGGACCGTCGTTCGATCCACGGTCCGTAGGTCTGACCGTAGATCGAAGGTTAGCAGCCAGTTAGCTGAAAATTCTGATGGGTCAACTTCAGATGGTCATAACTTTTAGCACAAAATGAATTAGGTGTCCCATGACCTATGGTTAGATAGATAATTGAATTATATTTCCAACGCCACTGAGTTAGCTAATTTCCGACCTCCGAGTAAAAAGTTATGCCCATTTTAGTGAAGCCCTGTCGGGCAGACTCGAACTACGGACCCAATCTACGGACCGTAGATTGACCTACGGCCCGTAGGTCCAAACTGTTGGTCACTCCGACAGCAGTTAATTCAGGGGTCTTTTGGTCTTTTCCTATTTCTTTTAACCCCTAAGATACGTCGTTTAGACCCTAAATCATGAGGTTTTAATTAGTTTAAACCTAGAAACATAACTAGAACTTACCTAAGTCAAATTCATTAATCAAAACTTAGAAAATTAGAAGCAAGAAGGGAGAAAAAGGCCAAGAACCCTAGTTCAAGAACGCAGCAAGTTTCCTTCAGTTCCAGCACCAAAATCGAAAGATTTCTCCGTGGAATTCGTCACCAGGTATGTGGGATTTCACTAGTGGGTTCCTTTCGCCCATTAGGTCCCTAGAATTCAGTCAGATTCTTGATTCCATGATTATGAACAAACCTAGGGTTTCTAGAATTATAGAAGATCATCATGAATTAGTTATTTAAATGTTCCAAATCAGATTATCATGTTATTACTCAGTTTATCGCATGAATTTCAGAACCCTAGCTATGTATTTCTTTAGTTCTTGAATTACACATGCTAGGTCAGATATTTCAGTTATTCATTTTTACATGCCTCAGTTTATGAATGCATAATTATCAGATTAATTGTTGCATTCTCAGTTTGCATGTTCAGTTTCGAGCTATCCAGTATTTACAGAAATTCAGTCATAACCAGTTAACCAGTTAATTCATTGGGAGTAGCATAATACCGAGTTGGACTAGGGTTTCAGCGTACCCATATAGTCCCAGAACTACGAGCCACGTAGGTGTAAGTCCCCTCTGTGGGCAACATCAGTTTAGTGATCACGCCAGCATGCCTTTATACCTCTGGCAGGGTATATTGGGTCCTCTCGATGGGGCGTATACATCGGACTCCACATTTAGCTCATGTGGTTTTATGTCGGTTATTAGTAGCTCCCACAGTTCAGTCAGACTCTATTGCATTGACCACATTTATAGTCCATTCAGTATTCAGTCAGCATGTTATAAATTGGTCATTGCATTCAGTTAGCTCAGTATTCAGTATCTATATCATGTTCAGATTATTTCATTGCTTTATTGCTTTGTTCAGTTATATGTTCTTTCAGCTGTACTCTATCCTGCATGCTCAGTACCTTTCAAGTACTAACGCATACGTGCGCTACATCTTCTCGTGATGTAGGTTCAGGTTCTCAGCATCCAGATCACGCTTAGATCGGTTCCCGATCTTCAGTTCAGCAGAATCAGTGGTGAGTCCTCATTCTCTGAGGACAATAGTCATGAGTTTCTTTTCAGTATTTTTAGTCTTTAGTTTCAGTTTTGCTAGATCTAGTTGGGGCATGTCCCAACATTTCTAGTCAGTTTAGAGGCTTATTTCAGACATAGTTAGATTCAGCTTAATATTTGAGTTTGATATTTCTTTTGTATTAAACTCTCAGATTTCATATATTCAGTTATAGTATATGGGTATTCCCCATCTTTTCAGATTTAATTATGAATTAGCTTCCGCATCAGTTTATTTTCTTTAGTATGCTCATGATCATGCCAGCAGGGTTAGCTTGGGATCACTTGTGGTCCTAGGTCCCGTGTCCGCGTCTCGGGGGTAGCTCGGGGCGTGACAAACTTGGTATCAGAGCATTAGGTTTAAGTGTCCTAGGATGTCTGAAAAGCCGCACTAGGTAGAGTCCTTTTCATGGGTGTGTAGTGCGCACCACATCTAATGAGAGGGAGGCTACAAAGTGTCTTTGGGAAAAATCTTCATTTTCTTGTTACTCTTATCGTGCGTAAGGTATGATCTAATTCCATTCTAACTCGACGTTCTACGTTTCAGTGATCATGCCTCCTCGTAGAGCTTATGCTAGGAATGCGAATGCCAGGAACGCAAACGCAGCTCCTCCAGTTCCAGATCAAGAAGTCTCAAATGCTGAATTCAGGAATGCCATTCAGATGTTGGCTCAGAGTGTCGCTAACCAGAATAATCAGCGGGTTCAAGCTCCTGTGAATGCAAATGGTGGATCAGCAGCAGCAAGGGTTCGTGACTTTGTTAGGATGAATCCTCCAGAGTTCTTAGGATCGCAGACTGGTGAAGATCCCTAGAATTTCTTGGATGAGATCAAGAAGATCTTTAAGGTGATGCAGGTCACTGGGAATGATCGGGTTGAGTTAGCATCTTACCAACTTAAGGATGTAGCTCATATCTGGTATACTCAGTGGAAGGAGAACAGGGGTACAGATGTCGCTCCTATTACTTGGGAATGTTTCAGCGAAACCTTTCTGGACAGGTTTTTCCCCATAGAGTTGAGAGAAGCAAGGGCCCAGGAA